TGTATATTTTTATGTTATTTTTAACAAGGTAAACATTATTTATTTTTAAAGCTAAATGATAAAAATTGGTAGATCAGTATTTAAATAAACTAACATAAGCTTTAACACAAAAAAGTTAATGAGGCTAAAGAGGGGTACCATATAAGGAAAAAGGTACAATTCACCAGGAAGAGAAAACAATTTCAAATGCATTTATACATAACAGCATAGGGGAGGTATAGAAAGCAAAATTGACGAAATTTGAAATAGAAATCAAAGTGGTTTAGAGATTTTAACATACTCTTTTTAAAAGAGCAATCACAAAAAAACTTCACAGTATAAATTTGTACAGAAAATCCAGTGGCTTGATTCATATATACATTCTCTTCAAACACACACAAAACTGGAAAAATTGTCAATTGAAGCCATAAAATTGTCCAAAAATTTAAATTATTGTCATAATGACTTCTTGCCCATAGTGCAATTATGCAAGAAATCAATGATAAAAATTGACCTAAGACAATGGAAATGCAAAATTTTAAATAACCCATAACAAAAAATTATTGTGTATACATTACAAAATGCTTAAGAGTCAAAAATATTGAAAATTTTGTACATTTACACTTCTGAGAGTTGGCCTAAGTGGTAGTGGAGGCAACTTACAGCCATAAATATTTTTTATTTTTTATTTTTTATTTTATTTTGTATTGTTTTTAAAGAGAGAGAACACACCACACACAAGCAAGGGGAGGAGCAGGGAGAGAGGGAGAGAGAATCTCAAGCAGACTCCCTGCTGAGTGCAGAGCCTGATGCAGGGCTCCATCTCAAAACCTTGAGAACATGACCTGAGCTGAAACCAAGAGTTGGACACTTAACTGACTGGGCCACTGTGGCACCCCTAGCCATAAATATTTATATTAAAAAAAGAAAGGTTTTTTTTTTCCCCTAGGTTTTATTTTATGCTGACTGTAAGGATAATTTAATATCAGAATATCCTTTAATTATGATCTCTTTATTAACACATTAAAGAATAGCTATGCAATTACACGAATGGATACAAAATTTTGGGTAAAATTAAGTACCCATTCATCATAAGAATTCTTAGGAAACCAGGAACAGATGATTTCTTTAACCTGATAAGGTATATCTACTGGAAACTTACCATAGTCCTATTTAGTAGTAAAATATTAGAAGCATTCCCTTTCAATAAATAATAATTAATGAAAGTCTGTTTACACCCCCCTGTTCAAGATCATAATTGAACAATTTATTGACATTCATAGAACAGTCCACCTAAAGTTAGCAAATGGCTCTCAAGTATAAAATATATTATGGGCTGGACTATAAAACATAAGACAAGTTTCTATAAATTAAAAAGAATTGAGATCAAACAAAATATTTGACCACAACAAAATTAAATTAAAAATCAACAGCAGAAAGAGATTTGATAAATTGCCTGATATTTGGAAAGTAGACAATACATTTCTAAGAACCCCTAGGTCAAAAAAGACTCACAAAGAAAAATAGAAAATGGTTTGATTTGAATAAAACCACAACATAGAACATACAACCAGAACATATAACAACTTCCTGAATTCCCATGCATTGCTGATAGGAATATAAAATACTCCAGCCATGTTCCATAAGAGTTTTCTGATTTCTTAAAAATGTAACACTTTCCGCATACCCTAGCATTTCCATGCTTGAGTATCCACTCAAGGGAAATGACACCATATGTTCACACCTATAATTGTGCATGGACGTTCTTAATACCATTATCCATGATAGTTCAAAACTGGAAATAATCCAGAATTCCATCATTCGGTGAATGGAGAAAGTATCATATATCCATACAATGAAAATACTAGTGCACAATTAAAGGGAAACAAACTACTGATGCATACTATGACATTAATGAGTCCTAAAAATCATTATGGTGAATGAAAGAGGCCTGATGCAGAAGACTACATATTAAATGATTACATTTATTTGAAATATCCAGAATGCAGATTAGTAGATTACATTGGAGTAGTGATGGGAGTGGGGAGTGACTACAAATAGGCACAAGGGAACTTTTTAGGGTAATGAAAATATTCAAAACTGGAAATTGATGATTACATCACTCTATAAAGTTTTTAAGAAATTACTAAATTATATACTTATAAAATATGAATTTTATGTTTACATTGGTGAGTGAAGCTGCTGGTAAAGTGTGTTTACGTTTTGATGGTGGAAGTATGAATGTACATATGTTTGGAGGTCATCATAAATTGTCAAGTCTCATAAAATTAAATATAAAAGCTTTTAACACCCATCATTTCAGTTACAAGAATTTATTCTAAGGAAATAGTAATGGATATACTCAAAGATTTACCTATAAGGGCAAAATTTTGTTGATGGTAGAAAGAAATTGGAAATAGCAAAATGCCAACAGTAGTGAATGGATATATTATGCTGCATACTTACTATATTTAATGATTGAATATTCAAGATAGGATATATTCTTGATTTACAGGAAAACTATAAATTACCTATGTAGAATTATTTTCATTGTATTGATACCATGTATATTTGTCATCTATATTTATATGCATAGTAATTCATCTAGAAGAACACAAACCATTACTTTATAATGATTTTCTCTGGGTTATGGAATTATGGGTCTCTTTTACCTTTTTCTTCTTCCAACATATGGTCTGAGTTTGTTATAAAATATTTTTTGACCATCCAGAAGAAAAGCTGGGTTGTTTTGTGAAGAAGAAAATTGGAGTCTGTTTTCATTGGAATGTTTAGTAAGCTAATAAATGTGTAATGTGTATGAGATTAAACGGTTACCCTTTTTTAAAAAAGATTACATTCTTAATTCAAGTGGACAGAAATCCTATAAAATTCAAAGGTGCGCAAATTGGCACTAAAAGCCTGAAGTTTGTTTAGGTCTTAAAGTTAGGTAGGGTCAAGATGTTAGTTTGTCTCATATATGCCCTATTGAAGCCTTTCAGAGCTGAATGCATAGAGTTAGGTCTTTCATTAGAGATTCTGTGGGAAACAAAATCATGTGATTCATAGCACAGCCACACTCTGCCTGAGATAATGGATGGCATTTTTGGCTATCTATTGACTGCTGTGCAGCAAAATTTATTGGTAAACATTGTTTTAAAGCTAACTGCAGGAGGAAGCTGACCTATCTCTTCTCTGATATATGCAGATCATTCTTCACGTTCCCTCACCCCCCCCCCCCCCACAGCCTAGAATATAACTGCTCTGTAAACATTTACATCTGGGAGGTAATCACGAGGGCATGAATTTCCTTAGTAGTTGAAACTGTACTGGTGCAGGTAAGAGATTACTGTAAATTCCTAATTAGACTATTCTACATAGCCTAATTTGGATAACTTTTACCAGCTTCATGTATCAGAGAGATATATTAAGGGATACACTCTGGCTTTTTTTTTTTTCTTTCTTGATTAGGAGCAAATGAAAGTTTCAGTCCTCCCTGCCTTGGATGTAGCTTGAATTGCAAGAGACTTAAAGCCTTCCCTCTATAATCCCATAGTATCCATTAGTCCTGGTTTATTTTCTAATGACCCGTTGACTTTTTAAATCTTATTTATTAAGTGTTTTGCAAACACAGCCACAAGAAACCTAACCTTTGGGTTTAGGTTATTTTGCTGTTTCCCTCCCTGGACTGAGGAGGATTAGGTGAGGGGAGACAGCTGCCCTGTGTCTTTTGTTGTGCAGTGTGGACCTTGGAGGCTGATGTTAGAAGAGAGGATTTCCAGGTGAGCGGTATCCACATAGATGGTTCATTATTTGATTTCTGTATTAATTAAGGTAACAATGGCTGCTCTAACAGACAAACAATGAAATTTTACTTATTGAACTAGTAGTTTCTTTCTTGTTCACTGAAAATCTAAATGTGTGTTCCTCAACAGGCAATTTTCTTGCAAGCTGTCATTTAGAGACCCAGGCTACTGCTACCATCTTGTGCCTCCCTGTCTTTATCATGTGGCTCCTGTGTTTCTGCCTTGGGGAAAGAGCATGAAAGACATGCATGAGTGCTATTCTGTTGACCTGGCCTGAAAATGGCTCATGACTTTCCTGCTCACATTCCACTGGCTAAAACTCAGTTAAATGGTCACACCTGGCTGTAAAAGAGGCTTGAATTAATAGTATAGTTGTGGACTCAGGAAGAAAAGAATAAGAATTGGTGAATACTAGTCAGTTTATATCATAGATCTGAACAGGGAACAATGGAAAATCAAGGTGATAGATGAAATATCTTGGGTTGAGAGCCAAGAAGTTGAATTCTAAGACAGTGACACAAATGAGAGGCATATAGCAATTCCCTGAGCTAGAACCAAGTGTTGCAGAAAGCCTTGAGTAGAGCCTTCTATCCTATTAATGGATTTGGTGGGGGTGGTGGGTGGGGGGAGACAGTTAAATGAGCCAATAGTAAATAACTAAGAAAGTTTTTTGTTTTTTCTCTTTGTTTGGCTTTAAATCCAATGGCAGACCACAAATACAAGCAATAATGAGTCCCCTTTACTTCTGTTGAATTATTTTGCTGTGTAATCCCAACATCGAACTGGAGTACTCACTTTTAGCTATAATTTTAAATTCTTGATATTAAAGTTTATCATAGATTATTTTATAGACTTTAAATTTAGATATAAAGGACTTAAAAATTCTGTGGTCTATCTTAGGGGAAACCAGTAGTTTTAACCTAATAAAAATAACTCCTACATAGTAAGAAATTTGAAAATAATAGCTGTCCACACTTATATAATCTATAACTTGTATATTTCACATTTTATTTGAGAAGTGTTTAAATAGTGTTTTTGTAACTTTAGAAGATAGCTGTGGTGTAAACTTATTTTTTTTGTAGATGGAAGTTAGTAAAAATAATTACCTCTGTGATTCTGTATCTGCTTAATAGATTGTACTTTCTTATCCCAAAGTCATGTGATTAGAAAATCCAATGTATTTCATAGTATTTTGTTTTTTTCCCCCTTTTTCTCCAGGAGAAAAGTGGAAATTATGCATACTCATAGTCTTTTCACTCTTCTTGGAGAAAGGCTGATGTTGCATACAAACACTGTGACTGTCACCACATACAACACACTTTATGAGGTAAAAATAAAAAAATGTGTGATGACAATTTAAAATGTATCTAGTGGGAAACCTATGTAACTGGGATCAGTAGTTGGTCAATTAATCAAAAAGCCAGTAATTTTTTTTAAATGAACACATACTTACATTTTAAAATTTTATTTTAAAACATATCCATGTACATTTATTTGCCAATCTTTTTGTGTTGGTCCAAGGACTTTTCTTTGAGTATGGGTTGGCTGATTGACTTGTGCGGAGTTTTTCTCACATGAATCACACCCATTATGTATTATATGCTAGTTTTCTCCCCGCCCTCCGCTGATTGTCTCCTATGCAATAACCAACAGTAACCTAGAGTTGATAGTGGGGTAAATTGTAGGTAAAAATTATTTGTAAAAGTGCTATCAGGAAGAAGCTTTAGATCTCATCATTTCAATTCAGAAATTCTTTTCTCACCATTTGTAACAGATGGCCATATAGCTTGGGCTCAGTATTTTCTCTGAAATGCAGGAAGCCAAATGTTCATTATAGCTGGGAGGGCAAACTTTTCTGGTAAAGGGCCAGGTAATAGGTATTTTAGGCTTTCTGGTAGTCTTAGTTTGTCTGGGCTGTAACAGAATACTATACACTGGGTGGCTTATAAATAACAGAAATTTCCATCAGTTCTTGATGCTAGCAAGTGCAGGATCAAGGCAGTGGCAGATTTGGTGTCTGGTGAGGCCTCACTTCGTGGTTCATCAACCATCTTTTCACTATGCCCTCACATGGCAGAAGTGTTAAGGGAGTTCTTAGGTTTCTTTCCTGTGGGCTCTGTGGCCCTACACACCACCTAAAAAGCCCCACATCTCCTAACCATCACACCGGGGATTAGATTTCAATACAGGAATTTGTGGGGACACAAACCTTCAGTCTGTAGCAGCAGGCTGGGTGGTGTCTCTGAAACTACTCAGCTCTGCAGCTGTGACTCAGAAGCAGCTATAGACAGCATGAACCAAATGGGGTGCTGTCCAATAAAACTGAATTGTATCTGTTTACAAAAACAGATGGTATCCGGAATAATACTTTGACCCCAGATCTGTCACATTACTTCACTAACTGTTTTATTCATCTTTTTTCTGTTTCATATTATCATCAGTAAATTTAAGAATGGCTGCTTTTTAGATAAATTAAAAAAACTCTTTTGGCTACTCTCATTTCTAAGCTTAATATTGCAACTTTCAGTCTGTCATTCCTCTAATTACATGATTTATAAACTTACCCTTCAGAACACAGCTTTTGTCAGTAAGAGTAGTTTTTTAATATTGCTCCAATATTTGTCCTACAGAACTGAATAAGCAGAACTGAATAGAAAGACCTACCGTATGCAAAGCATCTTGATACTGATATTATATTTCCCTAATAATCGTAACTATTTTGGGGGCATATTTCCTGTGACAGTCACTTTTAGTGTAAATACTTTATATACATTATCTCAGATCCTTACAACAACTCTCTGAAACTGTTTTTTGTTGTTGTTGTTGCCTTTTTAAACAGACAAACTGAGAATCACAGGTTAAACAATTTGTTCTATGTCTCACCACTAATAAATGGTCATAAAATAGGCAGATTTCATAGTATATGTGCATAAGGCAAAAAACGTCAAAATCTACCTTCAGTGGACGTTAAAGTCCTCTGAATAAAAACCTTGCTATGGTATAAGATTAGAGCTCTATCTGGGTTTTTGTATTGATTTTCTTAGACTAATCCCTCTAGTTAATGATTCCTATACATGTTTTTTTAAGTCATTTTTTGCCTACATTTTTGACCCTCTGCTTGTTTTAACCAATTAGAGCAGAAAGTCTTTGTAGTCAGTGAAACGTTATATTAAAATAAGAATGTAGCATAACAATATATGTTGAATTTGAAAACATTATGTACCCTTAACCTTAAAGAAAATGTCCTGTGTGTATATACATATATATGTATTTCTATTAGTCAATAGCAAGTGCAGCAGCATTTTTACCTACCATCTATACTCATTAGCACTTTCTGAGTATCCAGATTTTAGTCTCTAATGATATTCTATAAAACTAAGCTGTTGCTGATTCCATGTCTTAGTTGGAGAAAGTCTGGATAAGTTTGGGTCTCCTGATCCTGGATGTTGGATGTTGCAGATGAAGGAACTAACTTACAAGGTCTCTGACCAATTTGGCAATAATATGTACTTTTAAAGTAGAATAATAATCATGGTTTCTCAGAGTCCATAGTCTGAGAAACAAACTGAGGGTTCTAGAGGGGAGGGGGGTGGGGGGATGGGTTAGCCTGGTGATGGGTATTAAAGAGGGCACATACTGCATGGAGCACTGGGTGTTTTATGAAAACAATGAATCATGGAACACTACATCAAAAACTAATGATGTAATGTATGGTGATTAACATAACATAATAATAAAGAGATGCTTAAAAAAATAATCATGGTTAATTGGAAAGATGGACTGAATTAATTATGATACTCTGAAAAGAAAAATTAAGTATAAAAAATAAAAAAAGAAACATGGTTATGATATGATTGGATAGTACTGTTGATCCCATAAAAAAGTAGAAAGTGTGTTCAACATAAGATTTAATACTGCTAACAAACCAAATTATGTTATCAGACAGAATGGTGGATGATTAATTCTAGACCACCAAAGTTAAAATATTGCACCATTTTGGATGGTGGCATCTGGTTGCCAAAAATTAACACTCATGTGATAGTTTTGAACTTAATTCTCATTAACATAGTATGTGAAATTTAACTATAAAAAGAAAACTCAGCCTCAAAACCTGCATCATGAGTTTGATTCCCCTTATGAGCATCATCCAGGGCTTGCACCCCTGGCAAGAAGCATTTGGTTGATAATCTTCAGTTTGAAAGCTCTTTTTACTTTCATTTTCTGTTTTGGTTTGAGGAAATTACCTTAACCCCAAACAACATGTCAAAATAAGTATCATTACAACTGTAGAAAAATATAAAATCAAGTACAGAAATAATAAAGAACTATGTCAAACCTATGGTTTTGGTAATGATATTTTAGAATATGAGGTTTTTGCAAAGTTTTTAGAAGACCAATTAAGTTCTGTGTTACTGTGATCTTTAAAATTCTACATGTGATAATGCCAATAATAGGATAAGCAACAACATTAAAGGACAAAGTGAGTCAGACCTTTTGGCAGTATATATCAGACAACATTGTATAAAAGATATAAAGATGGCTATAGAACACTTAAAATGTGGCTAGTGTGAATTGAGATGTGCTCTGAGGGTTAAGTACATTTTGGATTTCATGTCCATATGTGGCTGTGTACCTTTTGTACTATTTTGTTTTTGTAGGGGCTGGGGTTACTTCCTATGCATATCTCTAATCAATACCAGTTAAACTTCCATGGCCCATCTTGAATCATCCTTTCATTAAAATGTTTACATCTATATTCATCTCTCCTTATTTCATATCTCATTATTTCCCTCTCCCTTTTAAAAACTCACATAGGTTCTTAATGACAATCTACCGTATTTATTATTTAGCAGGATCATGTATTTATGCCTGTCTCTGGAGTATTAATTAATTGATTCTTGAAATATAGTTCCACCTAGCACCTAGCAACTATGTTTCTCATTCCAAACATGTAGCAGAGTGTGGACACATGAATGGCTCTTAATAAATACATGCTGGATTGAGTTTCTAAATATGTATTGGTAATTTAAAAAAGCTCATATTGATAGTATTCAAAACACTTTTCACATATAGAGCCTTACTTATTTATCTTCCTAGCAGTTCTGGTAGATAGGCAAGGCAATTATTACCCTCATCTTTAGAAGTTCAAATAGGGACTTAAGAAGGACAATATAAAACTGTAGATTCTTTGAGATTAGTTTTGTTTTCTGTATAATGAGATTTCTTCTTTTTGGGGTGAGAAAGTTTTGACTCTTGTCTATCATGGAAAAGTATGGCCTAGTCTTTTCCAAGCTTGTCTGCAGTTATTTTGCATCTACTGGTAACCAGAATTTTAGGGATTTTGTCCACTCGGCTGTAGGTCCACACCAGTGCTTTTTTGGGCAGATCGGTGGGAAAACATCTTGTAAGCATATGGCAACCACTGAATGTCCTTTAGCATTTTCAGATTCTTTGGGTTTTCAGAGAAATTTCTGTCCGATGTGTCAGCTCAGTCTGATGAGTGGTGCATGTCTGTAGTGTTCTGTTCAGAAAATTCTGAGGCACTGTTTAGTATTAACAACAAAGTGTTTAGTGAAAGTAAAGGTCTTATGCCCTATATTTATCATTTTAATAATAGGTTAGTTTTTATTTCAAGTCAATACCTTTTTGATAAACATTCCTAATATATAATAAGTCAGTTTCCTATCTTCTTCTTTTTCTTCTTTTTTCTCAAGTCTGAGCAGAAAGATCAGAAAAATGCCATTGCTGGTGGATGTCATGGTCTTTTTCTAATTAGATGGGATCATCTCTGGCTCATGATTACTTTCTCCATCCCCAACTTTTACAAAATAGCTATGTACAACAAGCTCTCAACTAACTTTTATGTTTTATGCACAGATTTTGTACCTTACTTTAGGTTGAACTAAAAGTTTCATTCAGAACTTAGTATGTTAAGTTAAACAGGAAATTAAATCACTAGTATAAAATTACATCTTTAATAAGTATAGTCCCACTGGATTTTTTTACATATACAAGAATAGAGGTATACACAGTGAACAGTCATAGTATCCATTATTTATATATAATTCAGTTATCCATTCTTAAATTTCACAAATGTTTGAGTACTGGCACTATGTCAGGCACTGTGCTGATTGCTGGGAATATAACAGTAAAAAAGATGTGTAAGAATCCAGCACTCATAGAGACTGAAAAATTAGAAAACCGTTTTCGAATTCTGTTTTTCATTTGGTCAACTTTTTGTCATTTTTGTTATTGGAAAAAGTTTAAAGAAAAACTCATGGGTAAATGACGAGCCACATATTTAATAAAGATTTTTCCCTTGTCACACTTCATTTTGAAGTTAGAACCCAGGCTCAGACATTTTTTTTTATTTACTTATTTTCTAAGTTTTTTTTTTTATTAATGATGACATAAAGAGTCATGTTTACAATTCATAATGTAAGTATGTTATGAATGTACACTGTGAAGGTATTTCAAACAGAATAAATTTTTGGATTTCCTAAATAATCCTTCCTCCTAAAGATATTGGTTCTTTTTTGTCTTTATCCATAATAAACAAAATTTGAAAACTAAAGAGTTAAAGAGTTTAGAAGTATGTGGAATGACTGGAAGACCCTTGAGAAGAGGATTTCATTTTATTTTGACAGAATTGACAGTTTTTGCAGATTCTTTGTATATTTTGAAATTATGATTTAAATTATTTTCTAAATGAAATTCAAATTCTTCATCTTTCAGATCTTGACAGAGCAAGTATGTACTCAAGTTGTACACAAACCACATCCAGAGCCAGATTCTACAGTGAAAATTCAGAATCCAAGTAAGCAAACAGCAATTCTTTTTATACTCCCTATGCTGGTACTTTTCATCCCTGTGACTTACTTATTTTGTAACTGGAAGTATGTACCTCTTAATTCCCTTCACCCATCTCATTGCCCATCTCCCTACCCCCATCTCCCCTGACAGCCACCAGTTTGTTCTCTGTATTTATGAGTCTGTTTATATTTATTTGTTTTGTTTTTTAGATTCCACATGTAAGTGAAATCATATGGTATTTGACTTTTTTCACTTAGCACAGTACCCTCTAGGTCCATCCATGTTGTTGCAAAAGGCAAGATCTCATTCTTTTTCATGACTGAGTAATATTCTACTGTGTATATATACTACATCTTTATTTATCTGCCAGTGGACACTTAGGTTGGTTCAATATCTTGGCTATTATAAATAATGTTGTAGTGAATATAGAGGTACATGTATCATTTAGAATTAGTGTTTTCATCTTCTTTGGGTCAGTACCCAGTAGTGGAATTATCGGATCATAATGATAATTCTATTTTAAATTTTTTGAGGACCCTTCATACTGTTTTCTACAGTGGCTGCACCAAGTTACATTCTCACCAGCAGTGCATGAGAGTTCCCTTTCCTCCACATCCTCACCAACACTTGTTATTTCTTATTTTTTTGATACTAGCCGAACAGAAATTCTTTATTGTAATGTAGTAGTATTGTGGTAACATGGAAAACTAAATCAAAACTTTTCATAACCATCTTAATCATTATGGTGATTACCATAGTTCATGGTACTTTTAACTCACCTACCATAAGGCTAAGTTGAAAATGAGTAAAACTTTTTGAGTGGAAGATATGATGCAGTTATAAATCTTGACCTCTTTTTTTTGTTGTTCATTTACAGTGATTCTTAAGGTGGTGGCAACTCTGTTAAAAAATTCTACACCAAGTGCAGAACTTATGGAAGTTCGTCGTTTATTTTTATCTGACATGATAAAACTTTTCAGTAACAGCCGTGAAAATAGAAGGTAAGCAGTTTCAATACCATAATAAAACTTTATTCCATAATTATTTTCTCTCCCTTACCTTCAATCTCTTTCAAAACATTTTTCAAATCTTTCCCGTATTGCTAAATAATTGTAATTATCAGAAAAGGCATTTTATGTTTCTTTGATACAATCTACATTCATTATATTTGTATTTATTTTTATGTTTTTATTTGATTATGTGGGTATTATATTTTAATCGTTTCTGTGAATATACATATTCACAAACCCTTATTTAAAATTCATCATTCCTTTTGGTGACACCCATCTATTATAATCATGTTGGATTTGCTCATATTCATCTATGCTTTTCTCAGTTTTTGTCTGTAACTGATTGTTGTCATGCATTTTCGAGCTGGTTAGCTAAGACATGGGGTACAATCTAAGGCTATGGTTGCTTCCTGAATCTTTAATTTCACAAATATTTATTGAGTGGTATGTATAAAGTACTGTGCTGCACAGGTTATCTTACTATATAGTCTTGGTACAATTTAGTGGGGAAGATAAAACAGTGATTAATATATAATGTATTAAGTGCATTGTGAGTGGTACATATGATGAGGGAGTAGAGAAACAGTAGCTATATCTGACTAGGAGAGTCAGGAAACCAATTTGAAATGATAATTTGGATTTTTCCAGGTAGAAAAATGGGAGGAAATCATTCCAGGTATAGAATATAGAATGTGCAGAATGACTGTGCATCTTGCTTTATCTAGGTCAGATCATATTTTCACTCTTTATATAAATTTCAAAATAGTAAATTCTAATATAAACTAGGTATTTTTAATGAGTTTTTTTCCCACTAGATGCTTACTGCAGTGTTCAGTGTGGCAGGATTGGATGTTTTCTCTTGGCTATATCAATCCTAAAAATTCTGAGGAACAGAAGATTACTGAGATGGTCTACAATATCTTCCGGATTCTGTTGTATCATGCAATAAAATATGAATGGGGAGGATGGAGAGTCTGGGTGGATACGCTCTCAATAGCCCATTCCAAGGTAACAGATTTAGTATTTATCTGTTTCAGCTGTGGAGTGAATGGCTGTAAACACTCATCTGGTGCCATCTTGTGGGCATTTTACATTATGGCCCATTCCTTTATCTCACCTTTCTCTCTTTTTTGTTTTTGGTTTTATTTTCTCTCTGTTCATAAACTGTTAGAGCATGAAATATTTTATAGATCATTTAATCAAAACTCCAGGTTTATGAATTATGAAATTTAGACCCCAGAAGTAACCCCACATATACTTTATAGCTTGAGTCTGAGTCAATAGCTCTTTTACCTAAAACATACCTACTGGTTCTTAAAAGAATATTTCATGAAATACACTCTGAAATATACATTTTAAGACTTTTTAAAAGTAGTCAGAAATTGCCTTTATTTCCAAGTGAATCATAATTAAGTGTTTAATGGTATTTTTAATTGCATTATCTTTTTAATTCTAAGAATCTATATATTTATATTTTTAAACATTATCTGATCTTGGTAAGAGAAAGTAGTGGGTTAAAAGTAACAGTTGTGTACACATTAGATTCTGTAAGATTTCTCATTATGTGGTGTCATAGAAAAAGCATGGGTGCCAGGCGTTTGGCTTTTACTCCAGTCTATGCCACAATTCAGTTTTATGACTTTAGGAAATTCATTTAGTCCTTTTGTGCAGGGGTTAGAAACATGTTTTTTTTTTTAATGTTTTTAAGATGTACAGATAGTAAATTTTTTAGGTCTTGGGAGCTGTACAGCCTCTGAAGCAATTATTTAACTCTGCCGTGTAGTGTGAAAATAGCCATAGGCAATATGTAAACAATTGATTATGGCTGTGTTCTCATAAAACTTTACTTGCCAAAAGAAGTGATAAGCAGATTTGGTTCATGGGCTATAGGTTGTCAGCCCCCACTTTTGGGACTTGATTTCCTCTTCTGTAAAATAAAGGGGTTTTGTATCAAGATAATCTCCAAAGGAAGGTCCCTCTCAACATAAAACTCTGTTATCATTTAAGTATAAGTCAATATAATATGTGCCTATAAGGAAAGATTTTGAACTTTTTTATTTTCAATTTTATTTTTAGATTTTTTTAAATTTATTTGAGAGAGAGTGAGTGAAAGAGAGAGAGAGCATGAGAGGGGGACCTGCTGAGCAGGGAGCCTGCCTAGGGGCTAGATCCCTTGACTCCAGGATCTTGACCTGAGGCTGAAGGCAGATACTTAACCAACTGAGTCACCCAGGTGCCCCTATTATTTTCAATTTTAGTAGAATTTTTTAATTTCTGTTAAAACTTACATTTTACAATATATTGACACCTTTTATCATTACCTTAACAAATTTTAAACTAGTATTTTATAAGAAAAAACATCACATTTTTATGAAAAAATACATATAATTATTCTTTTTTTTTTTAAAGATTTTATTTATTTGAGAGAGAGAGAGAGAGAAGGAGAGAGAGTGAGAGAGCACAAGCGGGGAGGAGAGGGAGAAGCGGGCTCCCTGCCGAGCAAGGAGCCTGTTGCAGGGCTCAATCCCAGGACCCCTGGGATCATGACCCGAGCCGAAGGCAGACACTAACCAACTGAGCCACCCAGGCGCCCCATCATAATTATTCTTAAACCAGTTTATATAAAGTAACCAATTACAGTAGCTTATATAAAGATAAAATTGTGATGTTTTAACAGTTTAAAAATGTATATATTTATAGATATGTGTGATTTTTTAAAAAAAATATTAGTTGTTGGAAGTAGGCACACATGTGAGTAATAGATGTGAAAACTGATATAGCAATAGTACTTTGAATATTACATATTATTAGCTGATTTTCTATTTTAGCTGAACTCAAATATGTAGAAGTTCAACTGGCATATTAGGTGAGAGTAACATTGAAATACTTGATCTAAAAGAAAAGATTACTGTACTTAAAACTTTAATGTTGTTAGTTTATAAGTCATCTAATAAATCATATCTATTTTTGATGATTATTTCCAGTTACTTAATGGAACTTATCTTAAAATTAATATGTTCTACATTTGAAATCTTAAAATTTTTGACACCATTTTTGCTTTGACCATAACTTTATTTGTATTTTTTTTCTTCTCGGTGTGTATATAAAATGCCTTAATGTTTTCTTCACTTATTCCTAAGGTCACTTATGAAGCACATAAGGAATACCTAGCCAAAATGTATGAAGAATATCAGAGACAAGAGGAGGAAAACATTAAAAAGGGAAAAAAAGGGAATGTGAGCACTATCTCTGGTCTTTCATCACAGACTACAGGAGCAAAAGGTGGAATGGAAATTCGAGAGATAGAAGATCTTTCACAAAGCCAGAGTCCAGAAAGTGAGACAGATTACCCTGTCAGCACAGATACTAGAGACTTGCTCATGTCAACAAAAGTGTCAGATGATATTCTTGGAAATTCAGATAGACCGGGAAGTGGTGTACATGTGGAAGTGCATGATCTTTTAGTTGATATAAAAGCAGAGAAAGTAGAAGCAACAGAAGTAAAGCTTGATGATATGGATTTATCACCAGAGACTTTAGTAGGTGGAGAGAATGGTGCCCTTGTGGAGGTTGAATCTTTGTTGGATAATGTATATAGTGCTGCTGTTGAGAAACTCCAGAACAATGTACATGGAAGTGTTGGTATCATTAAAAAAAATGAAGAAAAGGATAATGGTCCATTGATAACATTAGCAGATGAGAAAGATGAACTTCCTAATAGTAGTACGTCATTTCTCTTTGATAAAATACCCAAACAGGAGGAGAAACTTCTTCCTGAACTTTCTAGCAATCACATTATTCCAAATATCCAGGATACACAAGTACATCTTGGTGTTAGTGATGATCTTGGATTGCTTGCTCACATGACTGGTAGTGTAGACTTGAGTTGTACATCAAGTATAATAGAAGAAAAAGAGTTCAAAATCCATACAACTTCAGATGGAATGAGCAGTATTTCTGAAAGAGACTTAGCGTCATCCTCTAAAGGGTTAGAGTATGCTGAAATGACCGCTACAACTCTGGAAACTGAGTCATCTGGTAGCAAAATTGTACCAAATATTGATGCAGGAAGTATAATTTCAGACACTGAGAGATCTGACGATGGCAAAGAATCAGGAAAGGAAATTCGAAAAATCCAGACCACTGCTACAACGCAAGTGAGTTACCCTACATGAGTTCTAAAAATGCATCGAACAGATAATGAGTTGATAGCACCACAGCAGTAAGAATCATTTCTTACCAGCTGCACCATGTTTATACTTAATTATGGTGCTATAGTAATTTATGGAATCAAATAGTGTGGTAGTATACATAAGAGACATTTAAAATACCTGGATTGTATTTCCAATTCTGCCACATTTTGTCTGTGTAACTTTGTTGAACCTCTTTGGGCCTTGAATTTCCTTAGACAGTACAAGAGGTTGTATTCGATTAAAATGTGACCTTTACGGGCTCTACCCATTCTAATAGCTTATGATTCTGTGGCTAAATTTACACATTTTGTACTCAAGATCTTCATTCTGAATACTTGATTAATTTTAACCTTTTAAAGCTTCACGCCCAACCTTGTTATGTGAATTATAGAAAAGAGGACTTAGAGCCCAGATTGAACAGATAAATGAAATGAAGGGTAAGGAGAAAGGGAATTGTTATTTATCAAGTGCCTACTATGTTCCAAGCACTGTGCCATATGTTTTCAGATTTAATCATCACAACCACCCTGTGAGGTAGGTAATATGGCTGAGAAAATGTACAATTATTAGCAGTGAGAATTTTCTTTACAACCAGTTGGATAGGAATCTGTTATGAGAAAATTAAAGACTCTTAGGCCTGGCGGTGAGGAAACGTTAGTGCTGCAGTTCTGGCCTCACCAGAATAAAGCTAAAAATAGATGCTGTTTTCTGATATGAATTTTAATTGTGGAGCTTTGAGTTTTAAGACTTACTTCCTTGTTTTCTAGGCTAAATTACCTTATGGTTAGGAGTTGAAAAATAATTTTACACTTAGTGATTTATTTTTGGTGTTTCTCCAGGTTTTCCATTCACCTTTTAATGTCCTCAAAGATAAAATTAACATGTTTCCATTAGAATTATATTATAAAAAGTAAACCATACATTTCTGGTGTCTTTTTACTCTAGTAACAATATTAATAATATATTCTGTGTTGGAAAATAAAAACAGAAACAAACAAAAAGTATCTTCTTTGTATGGGGAAGGTATTTTTATTTTTTCTCTATTAACTGCCAGTTTCCATTTTCTGTGGCAGTTGCACCACAGTGATAACTGGAAGGGTGTGGAGATACTGAATTAGGTAAAGACTTAAAGGAAAGCATGGTGCATTGTTTTTATTTATTTATTTATTTAAAGATTTTTATTTATTTATTTGACAGAGAGATAGGGAGAGCGGGAACACAAGCATGGGGGAGTGGGAGAGGGAGAAGCAGGCTTCCCACTGAGCAGGGAGCCGGATGCGGGGCTTGATTCCAGGACCCTGGGATCATGACCTGAGCCAAAGGCTGACGCTTAGCGACTGAGCCACCCAGGCGCCCCAGCATGGTGCATTGTTTATTGAACATGATAATCACTGGGCTTGCCTGGTTTTCACTTAGAGTTTGTAGGTGTTTTCTGGTTTTCTAACTTATCAAATAAATGTACTGTTTTCCTAAATTGAAGTATTGTGAGTGAAATAGACTTTGAGTTAACTTGAATCTATTCAAGTAATATTTTTTAATCTTGTGTTTCCAATTATAGTTAGTTGATGATATATATCCAGTACACTTCAGTGTGAGTTATATGCTCACTTTCCTAAGGAAGAAATGTGGTCTAATATGAAGACTCCATAAACAGGGGTAAAGAGGACTTGGTTTTCAATGTGAACTTTGGTGTTAGACCTGAGGTATTTGATTACCTTGCATAGTTTTTGAAACAGCAAAATAAAAGTAATTAACAGTAGCCTCTTCAGCTCAAAAAGGTTTCTGTCCAGGGAATCACCAGATGAATAATACATGTAAGATATATTAACCTACCGGAGTCATATGCAAAGCTTTACTCACTCACTCACTGGATTATACTTTGTTTTCTTTTTGAAACAAAAGAAATTTTGAAAATTTCTTTTGCAGTCTACAAAAGTTCACCTTTTCTTTCTCTAGGCTGTTCAGGGTCGGTCTATTACACAGCAAGACAGAGATCTCCGCGTTGATTTAGGATTTCGAGGAATGCCGATGACTGAGGAACAGCGGCGCCAGTTCAGCCCAGGCCCACGCACTACAATGTTCCGTATTCCTGAGTTTAAATGGTCTCCAATGCACCAGCGACTTCTCACCGATTTACTATTTGCATTAGAAACAGATGTACATGTTTGGAGGAGGTAGAAATATTTCTTTTCTTAAATAAGGGAACTTTCACTGAAGAAAATGAGTATTTTAAATTAGTGACATCAGTTGATCCATAAAGGAATTATATCATTGAATAATCTCACAAATTGAATTTACTAAACGTAATCCAATATTGAAATTTTATATAGAAACTTGAATGTTTTCACAAAGGTTATAAGGCCTAGGGCTCGAGTCAAAAGGTGTCCAAGAATTTAGGCTTAAGACAATTAAAAAGCAAAATTTTGCCTATTCTATATATAAAAGAGATTTAGCAACAACAATGAAAAGTTTCAGTTTTGGTTCAAAGCTGTTTCCACATTTTTATTCTTCTTCTGTTAAAATTAATACCATATACTAAATATATTCTTGGTAATAAGATTATAACATATAGTGTTAAAATAGAATTTAAAATCACCTTACACCATCTATTTTTAGAGCCCTTACCCTTAAAGTAGTTAGTATCAGTTCATATATAATCACCTAAAGAAAACCGTCTAAATAAATTAAATCATCACTTAAGGAAAACAAAGTCTGCATAAATTAAATCATTACCTTGCCTCACTTTCAGTTAATTTTCTAATAGCAAATATGTGACAAATTAAGCAGTTAGGAGAGTGCATCATTTCTATGTGCATGCACATAAATTAGGAAGTTGATGGCTGTAACAGAGTACCCCACTGTCATTGACTTAAATAATCAGCGGCATGGTCTTCTCTGGACTGAAGGAGGCTTCTCCTGATTTTCCTTCTGAGGTTCAGGGTGGCTGATTCAGCTCCCAGCACCAGTTCAACACAGGAAACTTGCCCCAACGAGAGGGCAGGGGCTCTTCTTCCTCCTCCGTCCCGTTCCTCATTCCTCCTCTTCCGTTTTGTCCTCTCCTTCCTCCTCCGCTCTCTCTTTTTTCTTCTCCCCATTTTCTTCTCCTCCCTCTCTGTTTCTTCCTCCTCCTCCTCTACTTTTTTCCCCTTCCCACTCCTTACCCTCCCCTCCTTTCTTTTCTAAAAGCAGCCCCTCAAGAAATCTCCCCTTTACGTCTCATGTGCCAGCAGTCAATCACCAGCAAAGGGGAATGGGATTATTAATAATGACTGTCCTTTATAGAGCAATACTGGTTAATAACCTAGTAGCTGGAATAAAGCCAGCCTTTCCTATACCTGATCTAGCTCGACAGTAGAACAAAATCTAGATTGTGTTAGCCGGGAAGAAGGAATAACTATTATGGAAAACAGTCAATGTCTGCCACAGAAAGTTTTTACTTCTAATTTTATTTGATCAGTTTGTCCTTAGGCTACTCATGTGATAGAAACAGTGGTCTTTCCATTGCTAGTGTTGTTATTTGCTAAATTACCTAGGGATGCTAAATAAGGAAACTGGAATACAATGAAATACATTACTGTTAACATGACTATCAATGGAGATATATAGTGTAACTTATTAATTACAATATTAGTAGTCCCCAAATGAGAGATACTCAGCTTTCCTTCCTTTAACATATGATGGAAACATAACATATAATAGACACCATGTGTCTCTGTTCTCTTTCACGAGCTGTCATAAAATTCCCCAAACAGAATTTTACTTAATTTAATTTTTTAGAAGATTTTATTTTTATTTGAGAGAGAGAGCACGTGCACAAGCAGGAGAGGGGAGAGGGGCAGAGGGAGAGGGAGAGGAAGAAGCAGATTCCCCACTGAGCAGGGAGCCTTATGCAGGGCCCATCCCAGGACCCTGGGATCATAACCTGAGCTGAAGGCAGATGCTTAACCGACTGAGCCACCCAGGTGATCCTAATTTAATTTTTTAAAAGATAGCACTTATTTTTAGGATTGGGCAAACATCTTGACATCTAAGATGTCATAGATGATAGTTTACAATTGTAAAGAATGAGAATCATTGACTTAAAATTGATCATGCTAAAGATTATCAGCTAAAGAAGAAGAACTGCTATCTGGCCTTCCATTCAGTTGCTGATGCTTTTTCTTCAGAGAATTTATCCTTAACCAAACAGTGTTAGATAAGCATGTTCTCTCGTCTTGCCACCTGACATCATGTGATATGAAAAGAAGCATGATGAATTCTTTTTGCTATCAGTAAGATACATCATGAGCAATGGAAGGTCTTTTTCTTATTGTAAATATTGTGAACATTATTTAACTTCACACACAGAGAGAAGAAAGTGGCCACAGCCCTCCTAGTGAGCTAATGCTGAGTCCTTGGAGTGAATGATGCCTCAGTTGGTTTCACTGTCTTCTTGACTGGATCTGTCACAGTGTTTAAGTCCTATAGCACTTTGCTTTGTTTCCAGCATTGGAGTAGCCACTCCATACCAGATACCATTGAATTTCTATAAAAATTGGATGAGTTTTTGTTTCAGTCTTTCATAAAATTGAACCTTTTGGTGGACAGAATTGGCTGTTGGCATCAGTACAGAAACCAACTGGCAGCTTTCCTTGATGAGCTTTTTGACATGTGGACACCATTTCATGTCTACAGCTGTTTGTGGGATGTTAAGGAAAAAGTGGAACTTCAAAATTGAAAAACAGACCAAACGAGATATTAAAATTGAACAAAAAAGAACAATTGATCATGGAGTAATCCCTTTTTTCCCATTAAAAAACAGTTCATATTCTTGACAGACATCAAATTAAAGCAGTGTATTTTTCTGGGTATCTAAGTTGCATGTTTTGTATGGAAAAGCTATACTGCTGACCTTTAAGACCTTTTTCCTCTTTTTATTCAATAAGTCCTTGAATTTTTGCTGATTTATTTATATTTCCCTATCATGTCACCTCTGTGACTAGCAGTATACATTTTCAATATAGCTGGTCACAGGTGGGGCTGCAATCTGGTGATAAACAGAAACTGCCTGAAAGGTCAACTTGGAGTTAACTATCCAGTTGTTCTAGAGTACCTGAGAATGGTAAATAAGGAAAATTGATTTCAACACAAAGTAACCACACACTGTATTTTTAAAGCAGAAACCCAATAATGAGTTAATACATTTGGATACAAAGAAACCCTGCGGGAATGAATGTTAAGTCTTCGGTAATATGATATCTCAATTGTAAATTGTTTTCTTTTCTAATAATTCCATTTTAAATTTGCCTCGCTCTTCAATATTTTTTACTTTATAAAAGTTAGAAAGTTAAGGTAAAATGTTCATTTATGTTTTGTTTTTCTGCTCTTTTAGTCATTCCACAAAGTCTGTAATGGATTTTGTCAATAGCAATGAAAATATTATTTTTGTACATAACACAATTCACCTCATTTCCCAAATGGTAGACAACATCATTATTGCTTGTGGAGGAATTTTACCTTTGCTTTCTGCGGCTACATCACCAACTGTAAGTACTTTGCTTCCATCTAGTGGTGTATTTTGTAATTACCTGACTACAGTCTGTCAGCAGCGTTCTCTGCTGTAAACAGATTTTAAGGAGACCCGTTCACCTAAGGCAACTTCTCCCCATTTCTTTTTGTCAGTGTTGGGTTTCAGCCATGTGTGTCTGTGAAAATATTTCTCTGGTGATTTGATGAATACTTTTGAAGAAGAGCCAAAACTATAAATGACTTAACTTTATTTTCCATATATTGCCTATTTCTTCAAATGTATATTATGGTCAACTTAAAAAATTTTTATTCTATTACTCTTGAAATTCTAAATACAAGCACATGGTTATTGTGTAAGTAAGTAGAGTCATAAATCTAAATTTAGAAAAAAATCATTAGATATGCAAACCTCATGTGAATTGCTTGAAATATTTCTAAACTTAATATTATTTTAAACTATATATGGGACTTTTGCATTCTTGTTCTCTGAGATTTAATCTTGAAGCCAGCAATCTGCTTCCAAAAGGGAACCAAATTAATGAATTCTTACTTAAAACTTAGGCAGCTCAGATAGAAAAAATATAAATAACATACCACTTTTACGCTATTTGAACAATTTCATAATCCTTAAAAAACTCAAAAAACTTTTTATAGACATATGGGCTGTAATAGCATTTGCATCTGACTTTATCTAGTTCAACATTTATTTAAAAGAATATAGCTGTCTTTCTAGATAAAACATTGAAATATATTAAGTTTTAAAGGCATTTAATATTAACTACATGTTTAAAAATATAGGTCAATGTTAATTTTATATTTTAGTTGTAGTTTAAAAAAAATTCTGGTTTATATTAAAAAAAAAAAAAAAGACTCCATAGTTGCTTACCCAGATAGGAAAGAATGTAGAACTCTACTTCGCATATTGACTGGAGTGTTCCTGCTACCATATTGGAAACAAACCCATGAGCCCAAAAAGTATGCTCTTTCCACAGAGAAACCTACTCTGTTGTTAAGATATCTTTTACTTGGTGGAACAGTGTTTCCAAATTAATCTCTGGCTTTATTTCATTATTAACCAGCTTTTCTTACATGATTCCTTTTCTCACTATAGTTTTTTCAGTGCCATCACCCCCAAAGTATCACTGAAACTTAAATATTGGCAGCAAAAGATTGTATGCCCAACATCTTTCCCCCCTCAGGCACGTTTGATTTCATCCATAAATTTATTCAAGAAGTTGACAGGCAAGCAGGCTAGTTCAAGAAGGAGAGCATTAAATAGATCATCATTATTAGGGCCTTAATGAAATTAGCAGCTAAGCAAGGAAATGGAGCCAGAAAGAAAAATAGTTGATGGCATGTGAAGAATGTAGATATCCTGTGAGATTAATGTACCTACCATCCCTTCTCTTCAATCTCTGATTTCTCCTGGTGATTTACACCAAATTCAGGTAAATCAAGAATTGTGTATGATTTTCAAAATGAATTCTAATATTGAAACAGGGAGGGTTTTTTCCCTTCTGTACATTAAAAACTGAAAAAAATCAATGTTTTCTCCTGACATTTTTCTTTATCATATAAAATATTTTAATGTTTTCTAAATAATCATTTGTCATCCAGAAATTTTAAAAGGTTGTATTGAAATTCATTTTATAATATTATTTTAAAATTTTGTGCAGAACTGAAGATGACCTCTATATAAAATTAGTAGTAGGTATTAAAATTTGTATAGGCTTGAAATATTCATATTACTAAATAGTCTTCCAAATTTTAAAGCTGAACGATCTCCATCAAGATAGAGAAAATATGAAATTACTAAAATAAATGGTCCATAAATGTTATGATTTACATGCTATTTCACTGCCCAAATTTACTTATTTTTTATTTTGTAATGAATATATAATAAAGATACTGACATTTTGAGGTTTGACTTCCAAATTATTACCTTTGCAGTGTGGACCACTGTATTTTGCAATTTGAAACTACTTATTGCTTAGAATACTCTTTTTTTTTTTTTTAAGATTTTATTTATTTATTTGAGAGCGAGAGAGAGAGCCTGAGGTGGGGGAGGGAAAGGGAGAAGCAGGCTCTCCACTGAACATGAAGTCCGCTGTGGAGCTCTATCCCAGGACCCTGGGATTGTGCCCTGAGCTGAAGGCAGAAGCTTAACTGACTGAGCCACCCAGGTGCCCTGCCCTTGCCTACAACATTCTTAACAGGCTTAGGAATTCATTCAGTTGTAGAAATTTTTTTTCATTGTCTGTTTCTCTATATTTCTGTCATTTTGGTTCGTTAACTGATTGTACCTATGCCTGGTATACAATAGCTGATTATGTTCTTTGAATAAATTGCTTCCTTAAAAGAAACAGCCAGAACGTTTTTTCCCACTTTATGCTAGTAGAACCATGATTGGTGCTGACTACTGAGTATTGTCTTCTCTTACTTGATTGTGTAATATTCCTATGAAAAATTGTAATGTTGTAGAGGAAGAAAGTTGGGAAAGAGGAGATTAAATAAAGAAGACAATTAGAACTGCATATATAAAGAGCTTTTGACTTAGATTTAACATGTAAAAATCCAAAAGTGAAAAAGGGAGCATTGACAGTATACAGATTAGCAGAAGAAAACATTGTCATGTAGGTATCATTATAATTTCAATCCTAGATACATGAAGAGAGAAACATTTGATACTGATGTTTGAGTGATCTCATGATTTTGTTTAGGTGTGTAGTTTTTAAAATATTTAAGATATTTTAAATATTAAAATATTCATTAAATGCATATGTGCATGAATAAATATGAATAATGATGGATGCCTGTGACTGGCCAACTTTTTCTGTATGGGTCAGATGATAAATATTTTCAGTTCTGTGGGCTACATGGTATCTGTCTCAACTACTCAACTCTGCTATTGTGCAAAAGCAACCGCAGACAGTTACATAAAGGAATGTGTGGGTTTGTCTCAATAAAACTTTACTTATAAAAACAGGCAGTGGGGCAGATTGATTTACGGGTCATAGTTTACTGACCTCTGACTTAAAGCATGATCCTCACATAAAATACAAATGTCATAGTATAATGTTTTAGAGTGAAAGCTATTATTTATTACTGACCATTGAAAATTCAGTAGTTAGAACTTAAGATAAACTCATTATTTCCTATTAAACAAGAACTTGAATTTGACTTACTGAATATTTAGTTTAATTTTTAGAACAATTTCATCGAACGTTGTGGTCATTATGTTCTATTAGAAGATATGTAACTTTTCACATTCAGCCATACTATTTTTTTTTAGCATTTGACATGTCTAATATTGAAATTGTATTTAATTTTGAGAGGGTAAATAGAATACTAAGTATTCTTCTTTTTCTATTTTACCAAGGTGACCTACGTTATTAGTTGTATTTATTTCTACTAGCAATGAACATGTGGATACAGAAATGAAAAATACAATACCATATGTAATCACTCATTATGAAATACTTAGTTTTAATATAACAATAAATATCTGATATTTTTATTCCAAAACTACAAAAGACTTGTAAAAGCAATCAAAGATGGTCTAAATAAATGGAGACTGTACCATGTTTATGGGTTGGAGACTCAACATAATAAAGGTAACACTTGTCCCCAAATTGATATTTAGAGGTATCACAGTTCCTCTCAAAATCCCACCAAAATTTTTTGTAGTTACAAACACTATTTTTTAAAAAATTCACGTGGGATAATTAAAACAGTTTTGAAAGAATCATTATATATTAAACATGGTAATCAAGATTGTGTAGTATCTTAGAAAGACATAGTTCAATGGAACAGAACAAAAACACAGAAATGGACCCCCAGACAAACGCACAACTTTTTTTTTTTTCCACATATGTTCATAAGCAGTTCACTTAAGGGGAAGGATAGCCTTTTCAAAAACAGGGTAATGATAGGTTTTCTTTATAGTTATCCATTGGAAAAAAGAATGATACTAAGCTCAACTCAGGAATATGTCTTTCCCATTTCTCAGTATAAGTATGGATCTCAGATAAGTATGGAAATCTCATTTTCATCAAAAACAAAATTGTTTCCTATCATCAGTGAGATTCAGACACAATCTTTTTGAAGTTAGGATTCAATGTAAAGTATATGGATTATGGATTTTGGCATAAGATAAATCTGTATTTTAATCTGGGTTCTACCACTTACTAGATAGGACCTTACTCTCAATTTCTTCATTTATGAAAAGGTGTTAATTATGCTTATTTAACAGGGAGTTTGTGAAAATTAGGATAAGTAATAAGTGTAAAGCTCATTAGATGGAGAAGGCTCTTGATGTTTCCTTCATTTAGTACCCTTTTGGAACTGTTTATTCAGAACTGTGTCATGATAGAGTAATTTTCTCATTTATAAAATAATCTGCCATATTCAGAATTCTAAAATAGGGTATTTGAGGCAAATTTATTTATAATGGGTGATTCATTTTGATGGCAAAAGATTTACATGGTATAGCCTTTTTGTCTGCTATTCCAATGGGATTGGCATAGTGGTAGTCTGTTTTCTGCTCTGGGATCTCATATGCATGTACTAATTTCCACTAAGGATAACATTTGTGTATTGCTATTGCAGTATCGTCATGTAAGAAAAGTTGAATTGTTTAGATTAATGTTACTTGTAAGTAATATTTCAGTGGAAATTTTAAGGAAAAAAGTATACGTATACAGTATTAGTGAACACCTTGAACTTAGTATTCATTGAAGAAGCAGGACTTTTTGCAATTTTAGCTTTGTCTAGATTATTTAAAGTCCTATGTAGCATAGAAAATAAATTACAAAAATAGTTTCAAGTCTATAAATTAGACCAATGGGTTTAACTTTTGTACCCAAGGAAAAATTTTAAACTTCTTAGTATTCAGTTTGACCAATCTTTGGTTTTGGAAAGAGGAATTATTTTTGTTGTTATTGATGATGTTTTTAGAGTTGGTATTTCTATTTCCTTTCTTTATTCTCTATACATTGTACAAGTTGGTCATGAGTGAAAGCAAGGAGTTGTAGAAAAAAAAATGAAGAGAAGCAAAGAACATGGATCAACTATAAATTGCATAATCACTTTGTGATTTTAAGTTGATCATTTTGGTCCACCATCGAAAACACTGAATGTTTAGAATTTAATTCAGTGTCATTTGTCTGTTAAGAAAAATAATAGCCACTGATATTTCTGGCTTTCCTAATAGTTTCATAATCATGAAAGAAGAGCAATATTTTCTGTCAAAAAAATGATAAGATCTTAAATTTAGTTTGTATTTCCTTACCATTGTCAGAATGTGGAGTTAATTTACTAATTACTGATTTACTAATTACTAAATTACTAATTTTTTTGTTTGTCTCATAATACTGGTCATACTGTAGTATTCTCAGGAGGCTTTTATGCATTTTCCTATACAGTGTACCATGAAAATGGTGTTTATTGAAATTTATGCTCACATATATTTGTTGTCAAAAATCAGAGAATAAAAACAGTTGATGACTTTAATTGTGAAACTTAATTCTAGCCACACTTTTGAATATATTGAATATAATTCTTAGTTAAGACTCTGAAATTTAGTGTAATATCTATATAATTAGCTTAGTTCACATGAAGACCTCATTAGTGTATCAGTTCTTTTCTAGCAAGGGAAAATGGTTTTTTAAGTTATAATCACTACAGTATTTTATTCTTTGACTCCTGGGGATTTTGATCTATAGGAAGGGCTCCAAATATTTTAGAAAACAAATTATAACATGATTCCTTAATGAAAATTCTGGAAGGTTGGTATAAATAGTTTATTTCCTTAAGTCATTTCTGCCTAACCCAGTACTGAGTTAGGACTTTTACAGAGACATCATATTAGTTCATTTATTAAAATGCTTCCTTAGGTATCTGCTAGGAAAATATATTTATTTTATAAAATAGAATATGCATAATTTTAGTATACGAACTATATAAATATAAATAATTTATCTTTATTTGGGCAGAGTTACTCTAATGAAATAAAATAAACATTAGTCTAAATATCTGATATGTAATCTTAATCATATGTAATTTATAAAAGGAATATCTATTCTAAGAACTTTGCTTCTAATAAAATAATCAAATATAATTTTTAAATATATTATTTTGTCTTTCAATTTTACATTGTATTTTTATTTAATTTTAATAATTTCCTTTTCTTGTACTTTTTTGATCTGTTGTCTGTTTTGTCTAATGCATGTCCAGGGTTCTAAGGTTAGTATTACTTCAGTAATTTTCAGGTTTTCAGTTTTAAGTTTTATTTTTGCTTATTTATGAAATTTTTGACTTGGTTATATTTTGAGTTTCCATACCATCTTTAATATTAGACCTATCTTTGGTATATTTAAAATATTCCTTAAAAGGATTTTTTCTCAATGCATTGATGAATTATCTTATTATTCACAATAACCTTTAGACTAAAGTATTATAATATAATGAAAACAAATTCATTCATATGTACAATCAGATGTTAGTTGGTTCCAATGAAAGGCAACTGGATGGGATATATATTATTTTAAGATTTAATAATAATCATATGTGAGTGATCTTTATTGTTAAATGTATGTTGTAATGTTTATATAACATTTCAGCAAAATTATAAATTACTTTTATATGGCATTAATTAAGAACTCCCTTGTTGGTTTTTTGTGTTAAGAATGCTTTTTATTTTAAAATTTTATTTTGTTTAGTCAGAGATAACAGTTTGGCAAATTACATGGCTGATTAATAATTCTGTTAATTTCTGTATGTAATTTAGTCATTTATAAATGAAAACATATTTTGAAGGTTAGACCTAGTAGACCACAAAAGACGTGAAACTAAGACTGTTAACTAATAAAGTGATAACTAATAAATAAATCTTATAATTTGAATAATTCAAAATAAAGAATTTCTTTGAGAATGCATCTATAGATATTATAGAATTCTAATATTTTTGAAAATTTATTTAGAATACTTGATAGACCTAAGTAATGGCCAGATCTTCCATTCCATTATAGACACTTGTATTAACTGAGATTTAAAAGAGTTTTTATGTGAAGTTGTTTTTTTTTTTGCTTTTTAATATCAACTATTGTGTTGAGATCACAGATTTTTAATTCATGCTATGAAATAATGCTGTATATCAATGAAGTGCTAGGAAATAAGGAATCAGTATTTAAGAAATTCAAGTAATGAATTATTTCTTTAGACCACGGATACTGAATTGGCATAATGTAAATCAACAATTGACAACAAATTTTTGTCTATTTTCAAGCTCATTTTGGAGAGAATGGTTTTAACACTATTTTGCTGTTAAATGGAAGGAAGAAAGGTTGTTACATTTTATACCCCATTTAGAATCGAGTTTAGTTATATAGTGCTTGCAGTAGTCACTTATCATTTTTATTATCCATCTTGTGCTCAAGAAGTGTTTTAAGAGGTTTTTTTTTTTTTTAATCAGTATTTCCTGCTGACATTTCCATTTTAATGTGAGCAGGAATCTGTTTAGGTAGACTGATGGGCATAAACAATATCAAAATGGAACATTAAATAGGAGTAGATACCTATAATATATGCTTACCTTGTAGTTGAATTTATCATTTGGTAAAGAAGTAAGGTTAATCGATATGGCTAGTGTGCCCATTTTCAGAAAATTTAAGCAGTAGTACTTTTTCTTTATAAAGCATTTCTTACTTTTCTCTGCCCCTTGTGGCACTGAGAAAACGAGGCCTAGTTATAATGAACCAAAATAATTAAAGTGTTATATAATACAGAATGAAAACTAAAATAAGAAATGTTGCTGTTGCTTATAAAATACAAAGTTACACATCTCCAGAAATACTACGTTGTGACATTCCCTTTGAAAGCATGAAATTATATTTTATCATGGACAATATTTTAGTGAAAGTATAGCTGTACCTAACTAAAATGCTACTGATTCTTCTTATTGCTAGTGTCTTATAGGTCGCAAATTAATATCCTTAGAGGAATTAGTGATTTTCTTGATTATTTTTACCCTAGATTTTTATTGTATGTATGAGATACCTAATGACTTAGTTTATTCTGAAATGGGTAAGAAATTATCATGTGTTCTCATTTAACAGTCGTCTCATTTTGATGCCGATTGGAAGTGCCATATATCTTTACTATTACTCATCATACATTCATACTAAAGAGAAGTTAAAACATATCTTTTAATAAATGAGAGTGAAGATTTTAGGAAAGTATCTATTTTATATCTTTATTAATAAAATAAGACAAAAGTAGTAAAATACAGATGTGTAATTATTCCTAAATATCTTTATGAAATGATCTTAAGTTTGGAATATAGTTTTGTAAGTGATGACATTTAAATTTATCCTTCATTTTAAAAATAGATTTTTCCTTTATTCAAGGATAATTCATAGGTAAACTAATTAAATTTAACACCCAGCTCTTTTGATATGTGAAATCAGTTTATAATTTATGATTTATTTTGTTTAGAAAATATACTAGATATGCTGAACTACTGTTTACCTGTAGCATGTATGTATATGTATTATATTTCCAAATTTTAAACAAGACTTAAATCTTCTACTTTTTTAAAGACGGAATTGGAAAATATTGAAGTGACACAAGGCATGTCCGCTGAGACAGCAGTAACTTTCCTCAGCCGATTGATGGCTATGGTTGATGTACTTGTATTTGCCAGCTCTCTAAATTTTAGTGAGATTGAAGCTGAAAAAAACATGTCTTCTGGAGGTTTAATGAGACAGTGCCTAAGGTTAGGTAAGTCTGTTACGAATAACGGTGCATGTTAAATAATTACCTATAGATTAGTTTTTTGATGCTCTGTGGTACATAAAATATTGATGATACAAGTTAATGATTATGTTGTATAGAGATTACCTTGTAATTCTTGAGAATTACTAAATTTAAAAATTGTGGTATCATCACATTGGAGATTTCATGAAACTGATCATCTTTAATGGATTATAGTTTGAAATGAAGTCAAATATATTTTGAATTATTTCAAAATCAATAGGACTGTAACATTTTTCGTTGACATGATTTTAATGTAAATCCCCTTAGGACTCCTGTTTTGGTGAACTAATATAGAATAGTTGTCCTGACCCACAAATATGTCGGAAGACCAGTAACATAGTTTTTATACACAGAATGCCAAAGGATAAAACTGACTATTCCAATGTCACTGTTTCTCAGAGTAAGCAGTTAACAGTAACAAATGTTACTTTACTATACTGTTCATTTACAATCCTGTGTTGCAAAGAAAAGATAGCACTGAAAACTCTTAGTAAATTTAGTCCTTCTCTTTACATCCATTCTTACATAGCCTACCTTTCTTAAAGGGGAAATTTATTTATACTACTTAGACTTTACAAGGGACCAGCAAGCAATTGTTTTTATACTTGCCTTAGAGCATGAGTAGGACACAAGAAAGTAAGGCATTACATAGGAAGAAATTTCTGACGTGTACTCTTTTTAACCATAATTTTAAAAATTACATAAAAATCTACATGTGTATAGTTTCAGGGGATAAATTGTTCTGGTCCAAGGTAGGGATAATAACTTGCTTTAAGAATGATGGAGTGAAACCTACTTTTTTCCTTTTGTATTTCTTAAAGATGGGCAGGTTAAGTGGAATCATTTCATAATCATCCTAATGGAGAGATTGACCACATTGAGATCTCTCTGACAACCAACAGGTGTGGCATAATTTACTGTGGCCGCTATGGACATATTCACTGATAATTAACAATAGCTGACAGAGTTAACTCTGGGACAGAGAAATTTTTTTAAATACCTCAGTATCTTAAAACCAGCATTTATTTGGTTATTCTGAGCTTTTATTTCTGAATATATTTCAAAGTTTTACTGCTAATTTCATTTTTATCCCAGTATTTCATAGCCAATTTGTTTTTTTGTCATCTATAGGAAAGTTCTATAAGTGAATAATAACAAAGCAATTATATATCAATATGTACTGTCTACTGTTCTAAACACTTTATAGATATATTAATGCAATTAATCCCCAGCAGTCCTGTAAGGAGGTTACTATGTTTATATTCATTTTACTTATGAGGAAACTGAGGCACACATAGTTTAAGCCGCTGGCCCAAGATCACATAGCTCATACAGGACAGAGCCAGGAGTAAAGTTCAGGTGGTCAGATTCCAGAACCTGTACTATTTATTACTCTATGACTTCTTAAAAATAAGTAAATAAGTGAAAAGCTTGTACATGTGGAATGCTTATTGCCAAGGGCTGTAGACTTTCCCACCACGTAGAAAGGTGGGTGTTGGGACTCGCGAGACTACACTGCGGTGCTCTGTCACTTCCTGAAATGGGGAGCTGTGCTCAGTTAGTCACCAAGTAGTCATGTTACTGAAGAAGTCTTGTCAATCAGAACAGCTTATCAAATGTGAATATGAAGTTTCAAAAAGTTTTTATTGATCTGTGAAATTCAGAATTTTAAACGATGGGGGGGATAGAATAAGGAAGGGGTATATTGGGAGCTTCAGTAATATTCTGTTCCTGCAGCTGGTTGGTAGTATATGGGTGTGTTGTTTTTATTTTTTAACTACACATGTTTTATATATACTTTTCATTACTGTATTTTGTAATTTTTAAAAATATTTGTTCTAGTTGGTTTTAGGAATAATGAATAGAGAAAAGGGAAAGAAAGAAAAAAAAAGCTAGCAACTCTTTTCAACATATCAGAGTCAAGAATTTATATTAATAATATGCTTTTGGTTTTTAAATAGTTTGTTGTGTTGCTGTGAGAAACTGTTTAGAATGTCGGCAGAGACAGAGAGACAGGGGGAGCAAATCTTCCCATGGCAGCAGTAAACCTCAGGAAGCTCCCCAAAGTGTGACTGCCACAGCAGCTTCAAAGGTAATTAAACATTTTCTATGTTAAATATAATGTACCTTAAAATTTGCTTTTTTAAGTCTGAGAAAAAAGTAACATGGTATTGTGTAATGAAAGAGCAAAGATTTGGTAATCAGACTGCTGTAGGCTTCTTCAGTGCTGGCTTTTCTTCTTCATAATTGTATTACCAAGATTATTTAACCTGAGACTTGCATTCTTTGTTTATTAAATGAAGGTACTAATAATTCTACTTCATAGGATTTTTGTAAGGATATCAGTACACATTGCTCTGAAAGTTCTTAGTTATTACTATTTTTCATAGTTAATGTATTTTCACAGAGCTCAATATATGAATTATACTTTTTAAGTGGATATGTTTTTGGTGATGGATACTCCCATAATATTATTGAATGCCCAGGAAATGAATGAATAGTGTATTTTGGAATATACCAGTAATTCTCATTTTAAATTAGCTCTTTATCACAGGTTTAAGTGACCCTTTGCATCACATCCAAAGTTTTATTAACATGACTTTTATGGTCCTGCATGACTGACCCTGGCTTTACTTCTCCAATAGCAGCTTATATATCCTCTTACCCCCTTGCTTTTGCCATTTTAGTCACATGATAGACTTTAGTTCATCAGAGAATCTTTTTTTTTTTCTTCTTCAGACTTTTTCATAGGTTCCCTTTGCTTGAAGGGTCCATCCTTACTTTTCATCCAGTTAAAATCCATTCGACTCTTGGCTTCAGCTTAAGTGCTGCTCTTTGGGGAAAATGTTCTCAGAAACCCTTGCTGCCACCCCAGTCTAGGGTAGTTTCCTCTATTTGATATTTTCATAAAACCCTGTATGTCTCATATTTGATATTTACAAACCTTTTTTCTGCTCAATAAGTGAAGATATGAAATAGAAGTTTAATTCATTTAAATAGTTCTGGCTTCAAAATTCTGTAACTTTCAAACAGAACAACCATATATTTAATATATATTGTAGCCTCTTTTTCAATTCTGTCAGAAAACATTCCTAAAATAATCAGACCATATTTTATTGCTAACAAGTCTCCAAAGTGTTCTCCATTGCTTAGAAAATTAAATATGAACACATCAGCAAGAGTGCCTCATGTTATTTGTGTAGGCATGGTAGACTGTAAGTTACTTGAAGGTATGTACATATCTTATCCATCTTTGTAATTCCAGAGCATGTATATATAACACTAGCAGTACTCTGTCAGAAGAGCAGTAACTCTAGAATCAAACAGGTCTGAGTTTGTATGCTGGCTCTACCCTGTAACTAGTTTTGTGACCCAAGACAAATTACTTAGTCACCTGTGACTCAGTTTTCCAGGCTTTAAAATAGATACAAATCTTAATTTACGAGGTATTTCTATTAACTAAATGAAAAGCAGGAATTAAAGTTCTTAGTTAATTCCTGACACACAGTGAACTTTCAATTAATAGTAATTCCCTTCCTCTTTCCAGCAGGTCTATATACTCATGAAATGAATAAATAAATTAGTATTTTTGAGAGCTTTGATCTTAAAGTGTCTGTAACTAATTCACTAGATAATAGGGAGCTTTCCAAGGCTGTCAAACCAACTATTACTCTGCAGAACATGGAGAGAAAAGTCCAATGTGAAGGAATTTTGTAGTAATTTAGTTGAGCTAGGCACTGTCTCTTTAGCAAGAACCTTGGCAATGAAAAATGGTTAATAAGCTATAGATACAGAAATATTAGGGGAAAAGTGGACTTGATAAGAAAAGACATTTTAAGAAAGTGAGTCAGTGGACCTGGCGAGGGAGGGTTTTTTTTTCTCCTTGTGTTTATGCATTTTTTTATGTGACTTTAGTAAGTGAACCATAGATAATTTTGATGAATACTAATCTGTGTAGACTTGACTGAGTCATACATCTTCATTGGACCTCACTTTCTATACTTTGTAAAAAGGAGCTTTACCCATAAAAGGTCTTTATAAAGATCAAATTTAATTATGGATATCGAAATACTTTATAAAATGTAAAATGATATATGTAAGTTAAAATATTTATAAATTTCTTCATCTATGCTATAAATTGTGTCCTTTTCATCTCTGCTGTAAACAATGTGTTATTTTCTTTAATCATCCTGTGATAAATATTATTAGCTTATTATTTAGATGATATAGCTGAGGTCCAGAGAGGTTAATATCTCACCTAAGGTCATATCCTGGTAAGTCGTGGAATTATAATGGAAACCAAATAACTAAGCCATATTCTTCTCACTATTCTGTGCTGCAGAGGAATCAAACATCTTAATTTAAGAGTGAAATATCATAATTGAAGTGTATAGAAGATTAGAAGGAAGTCTATTTATTTTTAATTAGGGTAACAAGTTATTCTATTTGCAGGAATTGTATTTGGTACTCTATGTATATGATCTAATTAATCCACATAATTCTTAAAATGTTGTATAAGTGATAAAGTACTAGACTGAATTTCAGGGAACCTTGTTCTCTCACTAGTTTGCTATGTGAGACATTAACTTAAAATTTGTCAGGTTTTGTATCTTCAACTTTAAAAAGGATTTTTGGTCGTTATGATCTTTAATGTCTTTCAGCTTTAATATTAAGGCTATTGAATTTTTTTGTTTACCTTTTTTAGGTTTTTGTAGATCATAACATACTTATACATATAAAATCTCATGCAATGTAATATAGTAATCTCGTATGTTATAAAAGCGTGGTGGATAAATGAACCCAATGATGCAAAGAGATTAAGTAGAGATTGGGAAAGTGAGGCTCAGAAAATTTTAGTAACAAGTCCAAGGTTACGCAGCAGAGTTTGAGTTCAAATCCTCTGAAGTCCAAGATCAGTCTCTTTTCCACGTCAGTCTTACTCCTCTTCTGAGTCTGTTGCGGTAGCTGTGATGATGAAGAACAAGAACACTACGAGTAGGTGAAACTGTGACAGCAGCGGAGAGGAGAACAGAAAAAGCGTCTGGTCATAGAGTGCTATTGTCAATAAATGTTAATGATGGGGAGGTAATGCCTAAGGATACTAGAAATTACTCTCTTATATAAGTTTCTGTATTGTGCTATTTTCTTTTTAACAATTCTCTTTCTTTTTTAAGACTCCATTAGAAAGTGTTCCAGGTAACCTTTCTCCTATTAAAGATCCTGATAGACTTCTTCAGGATGTTGATATTAATCGTCTTCGTGCCGTCGTCTTTCGGGATGTGGTAAGTTACATACCTGCTTGATTTTCCAGAAAAAAAATCTTCCACTATCATTTGTGTAAAATAATTTAAATTTTATAAGAAAGCTGCAAGTACAACTAAATGTCCTAATGTCAGGAATTGTAGGGTTTGGGACAGACTTCTGATTATAGAATGATTGAGCCTTTGCTTTCTCTGAAAGCTTATTGATACATCAATTTTTTAGGTGATGTAAAATTTTGATTTAGTTTGTGTGTATACTAAGACTGGGGATAACCTTGAAAAATTATGATTCACTTTGTGTTGAATCACCTACTTTTCTCTTTTGTATTCCTTGCTCCATTTCTAGGTACTATTTTGTTATTATCAACGTTCCTTGTACTATGGATAAAAGGGATTAATTCACTAAGGTGTTACTGGCAATTACTTTTTTGAGGGGCAGCTATTTTGAAAGAAGATCTACATTTTAAAAATGATAGGTATTTATGAGAATTTAAGTTACAAAAGTAGCTTTGTAAAGCTTAAGGAAAAGGTAGCTTATGGAGATGGTTTCTTGGAACACCCCAGTTATATGATCACTTATTCAAGTAAAGATAAGATTGGCCTTTTCACAAATCACGTAGAAACATATATAGTATTTCACAGCAGATTCAATATTGACATTACTCCTTAACATAGTTATTGTTTTCCAGCCACTTTGGAGTCTGTTTTTCTTATTTTAATTGATGATTTATGAAACAGAAGAAAATTTATTTATTTGTTTTAAGTATGCTCCACACCCACTGTGGGGCTTGAACTCAGGACTCTGAGATCAAGAGTAAGAAAGTCTGTATTTTAAATTTATATTTAACAATAAATTGGATGATTACTTTGTACTTTAGAAAGTGGTTAAAACATATGTAAGACACACAGCATAATACTGCATGGTAGGAATCTGCAACAGAAAAATTGTCACTCTCTTTAATACGTATCAGTTCTTATAAATTACTAGAAAAATTACAAACATACCAACAGAAAATTAGACGGTGGACATAAAATATAAAAGATAAGGTAACAAATACATGATGAAGTCAGTATCACCAGTAGTCAAAGGAATGCAAATTAAAATAAGTGAGATATTTTTAGTATTAGATAAATAAAAATTTTAAATAATAATACCCAGCATTGCAAGGGTGCATTGAAGCATGCTCTGTTATATATCACTGGTAGACGTTTAAATTGGATAAACTTTCTGAATAGTTCTTTTTTTTTTTTTTTTAGGTTTTTATTTATTTATTTAATTGACAGAGAGAGAGAGAGAGATAGCGTGAGAGGGAACACAAGCAGTGGGAGTGGGAGAGGAAGAAGCAGGCTTCTGGCTGAGCAGGGAGCCTGATGTGGGGCTCGATCCCAGGACCCTGGGATCATGACCTGAGCCGAAGGCAGTTGCTTAACCAACTGAGCCACCCAGGTGCCCCCTGAATAGTTCTTTTGCATTATGTGTTAAAACTCTTAAAATATCGATGCCCTGTGACCCAGTGGTTCTACCCAGAAGTTACCTGACTTCATGTGCTCATCAAAGATGCCTACAGGAAAATTGGCAATGTTACAAATACCTAACAGTAGAGTTTCAGCTTAATAGATTATAGTATATTCATTCAGTGGGACACTACGCAGCCATTAAAATCATATTTTTGAGGGAAATTTTGTGACATAGAAAAATGGTCATTATATATTTTAAGGGAAAGCAGCAGTATACAAAAGTACTTATATTACACAAATACTACATTTTTATGTTGAGTGTATGTACACGTACATGTGTACCTTTAAAAAAAAAGACTAGAAAAAATATACCAAGGGCTATTAATGATTATCTCTAGGTAAGCAGTTTTTTTTATACTTTAGTATTTTATACTTTTTTGTGTTTTCAAAAAACATAATATTACAGGTTCTGTAATAAACCTATATTTCTTTTGTAATTAATAAATAATAAAATAGTTTTTTTAAAAATGGAGATAAAATGCATGATAGTATAAAAATGATATAAGAGTCTTATAATAATCTGGACTCTAATCCAGACTTGGAAAAAAAAAATCACTAATAGATTCATCATTTAGAAGTTAGAATTATTCATCCTGAAAAAATATGCTATGGAAAGAATGTTTTTCAAATGAAAAATGATTAAAACATGGAGCATATCCTCATCTCCAAGAGGTACACTCAGACCTAACATACAAGGGGTTTATGTTAAGTGTGACATTATGTTTACATTGTTAGTAAATTCTGCATTAGTTATTATGGTAGATTATGATAATTTTTTCTAAGACTCCTAGATGTTAAATATGTTGGATAACCCAGCAACGGTGCCTAGCTTTCTTCCCGAAGGATGGGAATTAAGTGTTCCCAGATGTACCTTCCAAACATCATAAAGATAATACAACTTGTGTTTATAATATGTTTCAGACACTTAATATGTATTATCATAAGCTTCCATTTAAGGATTAAGAGAAATTTAAGACTCAGAAATTTTAAGATTCCCCCAGGTCGTATGAGGTGGTGAGAACCTTAAGGTAGACCTCTCCAAAGTATTCTCGTTTTCATCAGCATATTTCATAGATTCTAAAATACTGTTTTCACTTTTATTTTATTATTTAATTTATTTATTTTTAAGTTTTTATTTAAATTCCAGTTAGTTAACATACAATGTAATATTAGGTTCAGGTGTACAATATAGTGATTCAACACTTCTCTACACCACTTGGTGCTCTTAACAACAAGTGCATTCCTCCCATCACCTGTTGGAAGTGTTTGACAGTTGATATATTTTAGACTCAATTGTAGATATGCTAAGAATTATACTTGACTTTTGAAATTTTTGTGAATCAGTAGTCATTTTTAATTGCCTTAATTTCACAAAGGAGATCAAAAATTAAGTTTTTAAGGAAAACTATATGTACATTATATACATATATACATACAATATGCAATAAATATATATATATCTTGCTCTTGCTTTTTTTCTCTTATGAAGACATTGCTGGTTTAAACTCACATGAACTGTTTAAATCTAGGCAAAAGCGTTGTGTAGTAAAATTTGCTATGTGGTAAGAAATAAAATTAAACTTTAAAAATCAACACTGTTTCCAGTGTTCCCAATAAACTAAAATTTGAAAACAAATTCATTATTCTTCTATACTAGGTCCTTTATATACAAAATTATATAAACTGAAGTAATTTTAATCCTTAAAAGTTGATATAGAAGGTTTTTGACATCCTGGTTGAAGGATTAAAATTTTTAAAGGATTTCAGAGTTAATTATATTACTGATTCAAGATTGAATAGTGGAGGGACCCATTTCTTATGCAGATGGGAGAAACATAAGAGTTTATGTCTTCATAAGAATAAAATATGTAGGCAAGACAATTAATTTGTATAAAAATTTACTTGTTCTCCAGATGTTGTGCTTCATTTTTAAAGATAGAACTCTCTGGGAATAAGCAGCACAATTGGTTTGCAGATCTGGATTTGAAAAGAAAAGGCAACTGTTTTCATGCCATATATATGGGAGATGTTAGCTTGGCTAGGACACTTCACAATATCTGTTGTTTGCAACTCTGCAACTTTGTAGTTAACATGCATTCATTCCACACATGCTTTTTAATTGCCTGGCCCTGAGTTTCCAGTAGTGGAAATGTAAATGTTGTAGAATATCACAGTCTATCACAGCTTGAGCTGTTTTTGAATTCATTCCTGGTCAGTTTCTTTGTTGATATGATTGCACTTCATTTTCCTTTATAATAACTATTTTAAGTATTTGATTTTGTCCCTTCTCTATATATTTATTCCATCAGCATTATAATGCAGAGTATGCATTTCAAACACTTTTAAGAAACTATCTCTAGGAAAGCTGCCTGTCACCCTCAGAGTATGAGATACTAAGTTTATAATATTCCAGAACAAGTTCAATCTGTTTTGGTAGTTTTCTGTATTAGCTGTACTAATCCCATTTCATAGTATTAAATTATTAGTAAATATTTCTTGTTTGCTTTCTTTTCTGACAAATGCACATACATTCTGAATCTTGCTTGCATTTTGCTTAAATGAAGTAAAAATAAAAAGTACCTTTAATGGAGTTGCTAGGCTTTAATGCAGGTCTGCTTTCCTTATTCATATCATACATTTTTTACCTATTATCTGTGGGCCACAGTCATTACTTGCAGTTTTGGTTTGAAGTGTCACCTTTACCTAGCTTAGAAAAGGACTTTATTACCATTTACATTTGATTCCTTCGATACAGGCTAATTTGAAAGTGGTATTAGAGGTTATAAGTTTGCCTCCTTATCAGTTTTTTCCCTATAATATAGTTATCTAGGCTTTCAAGGTTACATGCAGCTCTTTATATTTTACAAAGCATACTTATAGAGCTATCTTTTCTACTAGACTGCAGTCTGCTTTTTTTTTTTTAAGATTTATTTATTAGAGAAAGAGAGAAAAAGGGCGTGGGTGGGGCAAAGGAAGAGGGACAGAGAGAATCTCAAGCGGACTCCCCTATGAGGGTGGAGCCCACGACCCTGAGACCATGACCGAGCTGAAATTAATATGATGCTCAACCAACTGAGCCACCCAGGTGCCCCTGCAGTCTGCTTTTTTGAAACTACTCTCCCTGTATCCTAACTTCACCAATTGTTTTCATACCTTTTACCAATTTGTTGCACTGGGAAAACTTCCATTTTTGTCATTGAGCTTTTGAAGTTTAGAGCCTCATATATTGGCAGTGTTTTAGAGGTCATTTTTCCAGGGTGCAATAGTGGGACTGTTACTTATTTTTATTTATTTATGCAGTCAGAGGTTGCATTGACTTTTCTTAAGCTGCCATATCATACTTCTAACTCATATTGAGCTTGTATGTAAAGTTCAATTTTCTGTTTCCCCTATTTTGTACTCAACAAAGTCTCTTAAGGTAGTAATATGTTAGAATTGTACATGTATCTCAATTATAATTTTATTCTATTTTTTAAAATTATAACATTTGGAACTATTGACTTTTATTCAGATATTATTTCATCCTTATGCTTTCTGTATATTTTATAAATAGACATACTCTGTAGTTATGGAAGTAATGGATAGTAATGGTGAAGAGGACAAAGAATAAAATTTGGGGGCATAAATGCAAAATTTTAACATTCTCATTTTTTGAAATTAAATTTCAACCTATAACTCACGATATATTTCTGGAGTTTTGTATTTATACTTAAATGATACTAATTAAATAACAATGTATACTTAGAAGTTTTAATAAAAGTTAAATGTCATATTTTACCTCCATAAAGAAGATGAAATAGTAGTTTCTTATACTCTGGTAACTTCAAAAATTTGAATGTCAGAACTGCCTTTTCATTTTACACAGGATGATAGCAAGCAGGCACAGTTCTTGGCGCTAGCTGTTGTTTACTTCATTTCGGTTCTGATGGTTTCCAAGTATCGTGACATATTAGAACCCCAGCGAGAGACTGCAAGAACTGGAAGCCAACCAGGTAGAAACATCAGACAAGAAATAAATTCGCCAACAAGTACAGGTACTATTTTTTTAATTATTTGAATTTTTGTCATCATTTATCTCCTTTTTATTTCCTTTTTACATCCCATCCAGTTTTAAACTAGTCCTACTCATTATCATCTTAAATATTTATAAGTAGTTGGCATATAAATGCCAATTTAATACTCTTTAATTCCATAAAAATGTGTGAATTTCCATGATATTTGCTATATTCTCATTTTATCAGTGCAGTTTGGGTTTAATGTTTTCCATATGTTAATACAAATCATTTACTATTTAATATGCAAATAACTGATATATTTTAATTGTATTACTTTTTAACTTTTATGAACATGAAAGTAGATTCTTACAGAGTAGTTCAAGACCAAGAATAAGCCAAAATATAAATCTTTATAGCCAAGTTCAAAGATAGCTTCTTTTTTGCTTGCTTGTTCTCTCTCTCTCTCTCACTCTCTCTGTGTTTCTTTTGCAGTGTATAGTTATTTAAGTATCTAAATATTCTGTCAGAGATTCATAATAAGCCAACATACATTTTAAACTTTATACCAAAGTTGCTTCAATTAAAATCAAAGACTTAAAGACAACAATGAACCATCTTGGATCATATTATCTCTTTTATTTAGAGAAGATGCTCATGTTGTGGGAGTTCTTGCATTATCAGCTTTGCCTACTCTGCTTGAAAATGATAAACACATTTTCTGGCAACTAATATTTTAATATCATGGAATGCCTTCTATCAGTTGCATTTCCTGCCATGTGTTTATATCAAGGTTGTTTCTTGGTTGTTTGCAATGTATTCTTGGTAACCTAGTGGTTATTTCATGTACTATTAGATTAATTTGTAGTTGAAATTGTCTTTCCTAAATAAATGCATATGATATATAAATAAAATGGATATTTTAAAAAATGAGTAGAAATTAGTGGTCAAATCTCTGCATCTTGTTTTCCCTGAGCATATCATATCTCCTTTACCTTGCTTTTGTGGAAATATGGATTATGTTTTAGCTATAGTACTTTATTGTTGCATGCTACATTTACTTTGAACACATAAACATGATATTATTTCATTGTAGTATACTTTCAACTTTATTCTTCAAATTAAACATTATCCTACCATTCCAGTTTATGTCTTTTGACCATTTAAAACATTAAGATTCTTATTATGTTAATCAACTTTTGCTTCATTTTAAATGCATTCATATCAGCTTTATATGTATAAAACAAGCAATACTTTAGTCAGCCTTCCACTTCTGATTTTGTATGTGTATGTCTTTCTGTATGTTGCTAAAATTACTCTACTTAACAAGTGTATGATATCTCCTTTCTCTTAATACATAACCTCTTTCCTTCCCCCAGAGATGCAGTCTTTATTGCTAGTATTGTTTGCATGTTGCAGTAATAGAGAGTTGTCATGGATCTCCAGTGGACCATGTTGCAGGTTGCTACATGCTGGCTCAAATTTGATTCCATGATTTTCTCTGCAGTTGTGGTCATACCATCTATCCCTCATCCAAGTTTGAACCATGGATTCCTTGCCAAGTTAATTCCTGAGCAGAGCTTTGCCCACTCATTTTACAAAGGTAATATTGACTTCATCTCCTGACCTGTTTGGGTATTCGTATTTCATTAATTGTTATAAAATAAATATCCATAATGTAATTGTTTGCAGACAAGTATATACCTCAGGTTTCATGGAGATATGATATGTTGTATTTTTATTTGGCTTTTGAGAGTAAAATACAGTTTTTATATTTGTATTTCATTACATTTCTTTATCATCTGCAAATTATGATACTTAATTATATGTATAAGAATATTCACAGTGGTGGCATTCACTAGAGTTTGCAGAAGAGCCACACCTTAGTAGGAGACTAAAGTAGCCCTAAAATGAAGGCTTCTCTAGACTCACAAGAAAAAAAGCTTAAAAACAAGACTTGAAAACATCAAATTGATCTATAAGTTACTTAACTTTCTGTCAAAGTTCTACCTCTGTTTAAAGGAATACAAAAAATTTTTTCACCAAACAACATAAAATTCAGTGTTCAGCATTCAATAAAAAATTAAAGAAGCAGGAAAATGTGCTATATAAGGGGGAAAAAAATCATTCAATAGAAACTGATTCAAAGGACAGTGATGGCAGAACTACCGGATAAGAACATTCAAACAGCTATTATGAGTATGTTCAAAATGCTTTTCAATCTAAAAGAAGTAGTGAATGTAATGAGAAAAAAAAATGGAAGATTTTTTAAAAAGAACCAGTTGGGAGTTTTAGAGATAAAAAATAAAATAGCTGATATGATGTCTCTGGGTAGGGTTGACATGGGATTACTCTGCAGAACAAAGGATTGTAGTAGGCCTAATTCTGTTCCCCGTCCCCATCCGCCCAAGATTTTCCCATGTACACACCCTGCATGATTCCTGGGACAGTGAATATGATGGATTTTGCTCCTGTGACTATGTTGTATTACATAGCATAGTTGCTTTTAAAAGAAAGTGATTATCCATATAGTCCTGACCTAATTACATGAGACCGTAAAGGCAGAGCATTTTCTCTGGCTGGTTACAGAAAGGAACTCAGAGAGACTGAGAGTGTGAAAGTGATTTGACTTGAAGGAAGTCCTTTATTGCTGAGATGAAGGTGACTGCAGTTCAAAGACCTGAAATCACCTCGTAGGAGCTTGAGAGCACAACCTGGCTGACAGTCAGCAAGTAAGTGGGAGACTTAGCCTACAACAACAAAGAACTGAATTCCTCCAGTAACTTGAGTTTAAAGAGGACCCTGCACTCCAGATGATACCATAGTTCAGTGTTTCTATATATTGGCTAATGATATAGAAGACCAACTTATAGGATAAATAAATAAAGCAGTGAAGTATTTTTTGTTACAACTTGATGAATGCACAGATTTTTATAATAAATGTGCAACCTTTGAACATGATGTTGAAATAAAGGAAAAATTCAGCTTTATTGCTTATAAACATCTAGCTGTGAACTAAGAAAAATTAGATTAAATTAGATTAGATTAAAAGTCTGGAGGGTTTTTTGTTTGTTTTGTTTTGTTTTGTTTTGTTTTGTTTGTGCGTATAGAAGGTATTCCAAAGGCTTAGCTGTAGTGACTGGAAGATATTCTAGAATAGTTACCCAGATTCAGGAGCCTATATCAGAATATCAGTGCTCTTCTTTATCAAGGATATTTTCTTGTGAAAACAATATTAGCTTAACTGTACAGTGTTCTTAGTGGCATAATAAAATTTTGAATTACTTTAAGACTGTTGTGGTAAATTTGCTATTTTCTTTACTATGTGATAATATGGAAGCTGATCATAAATAACTGTTATGGTATGCTGTGGTACAGTGGGTATTGAAAGGAAAAGTCCTGTGATGATGTTGGAACTACAAAGTCAACTTTTGGTGTTTTTTACAGAATAAGAAACCAGTTTGATTCCATTCTTTAAAGACTAGTAGAACTCGCTTTTTCGTCAGATCTGTAAAATATTTTTAATGAATTCAGTACTTACAAATGGGGAATGATTGCAACATGTTTTTTAGTAGCAGAAAAGATCAAAGGACAAAAAGAATCTTGGAAGCATACAATTTCTATGACATTTTTCATTACTTAATAATTATTATTTAATATAATTATCAAGAAAGTATCTTGATCTTTAAGGATGATTTTGATTTTGCTCACCCTTGAAAATTTATCTCCTGACATTTTATGTTTTTGATAGAATGTTTTGTGTTTAATTTTCTACCAGAAGAAGATTCATACATGAGATTCATGGAAATGGAATTCATTGCTTTCATTGAAATATAATTTATATTTGATTATAACAATACAAGATAAGTTATTGGAATTGGGCATTGGTGAGCATTGAGGGAAATTTTGAAGATACAGCTTTTCTAGTTTCATTTTGGATAAAAGTTTAAAATGAATATTCATTCCATGAACATACCTCTGTGACACTGCTTTCTCTACTCTGCCTAATATTAAAATAAAACAAAAGGTTAGCTATATGTTATTCCCATGAGTGGCATTATTGCCTGTTCAACTTGGATTAGATAAATTAAAAAGCAAAAAGCTCTCATTGTCACATTATCAACTTTAAATATTTATATCCCCAGTTTTTGTATAAAACATTTATATAGGAGTCTCTTTTAGGGAGTCATTCTGCTTCAAACTTTGTTTATGATGTGTAATGGGAAAAATTCACAAGTATAATAACATTTGCATATATTGGTCACCTATAAACACACTTTCAGTGAACAGCATGATGAACAGTTTTAAAATTATTTTCTTTTCCCAATATTATCTTTGTTCTGGTTAAATTGAAATTTATTTTTTGTCTATAGAGTCAAATAATAAAAACATTTGTGGTTTTATTTTGTGTACTTAATTTTTTAAATTATTTTTAATTCATTTTCAAAATGTCAATCAGTGATGGTTAAAAAAAAGTAAATTTTCGCTTTGAGTTTGATAGTTTGAGAAGCACTGATTTGGACTACTCTTCAACTCCTTCACACTTCACTTTCTTCTTTCAGCTCATTATTGAACATTTTAAAAAATGCCGAACTAGCTCTCTGGCCTCTTTTTTTTTTTTTTTTATCTTTGATAGTCCCTCAGTTCAAAGTCTTATCCCTTTTTGGAGCACTGCCATAGTTTCTTCTTTGGACTTCTTTTCTTTAGTCATTAGTCTGTTACTGATGACAATAAAAAGTAACACTAATGTATATAATAAAGTAATGAGACATACTTTATATTTAATATTATATTTTCATATAATATTTTATAACATATAACAAATATAATAAAGCAGTTTTTCTTTCTAAAAATTCTAAAGGCTTCCTGTGATTTAGGGGACAAAATTAAAATGTCTTACTTTATTGTGACACACTACTGTAGTTCTAATTTACCTGGATTATACACAATTGCCTCCAAAGTAGTTTCTTTACCTCTTTCTTTACTGATCTTTATTCGATTTATTACAGTTTTGCTACAATTTGTTTTAAAATGTAAATGATATATATGTAATTTTTTTTACTTAAAATTTTCTGATAGCATGTAGAGTAAAAATATCACAGGCGCTTCAGATAATCTGACTGCTGATTATCTTTCCAGCTCTTTCTCATATTATTCTTCCATTTGCTCACTATGCTACCACAATAAAACTGTCTTTCCCTTCCTTAATAATCACAAGCACTATCCTACCTCTTGATCTTTGTATTTTGTTTCTGGTTTTTGGTTCTCTCTCTTTCCTATTTTTTGCATGACTGGTGCATTTTCATCCTTCAGTTGTCTCCCTGAAGGTGTCCACCTCACAGAGGCTTTCCCTGACTGCTGTAGCTGAGTAGCTTCCTCTCTGTGACCAGCCTGTTCTCTACCACTACATCCTCTTCATTTCCTTTTTTGCATTTACACAATTTATTCGTTTAGTTGTTTATTGGAATGTGTACTTCAAGAGCATAGTCCCTGACACCCAGCATGATGCTTGGAACTAAATAAATACTTGTTAGTAGATGAGTAAGCCAGTGAGAAAGCTAAACAATTTTTTTAAAACTTGATGTTAGCCATAAAATGTATTTCATTATCAAACATGCCAAAACAGGGATAAGAAACTTTTATTGCTAACTTGGTCTAGAAGCTGTAGAAGCTTTATATTAATCATTTCACTTTAGGTTTAATAAGAATAAAGTTAATATTTAGGTGAACTTATAAATAAATATATTGGTTTCCTCTAACAATTCATTATTAGGGAAAAGAATTAACACTGGAAATAAAAAGTCAAGATAATGTAGTACTGGTAAAAGAATAGGCATATGGCATGATTGGCCTATAAATAGGCTGAATTTGTATGAATGTTTCTCATAGTATAAATGTATTACCTATAGTATATACATTAGTATATAGTACTATATATGTTATGTAGTATATTATAAATACAACTTTTCTAGTCAAAGGGAAGAGGAAGTATCATTTGGCAAATGGTATTTAGGTTACCAAATGGGCAAACATTTGAAAAAATTAATTTATATCCTTATCTCATATATTATGCCAGATATACTTCACATGCATTAAATTTAAAGGTATAAATGAAACTGATCATAATTCAAGACAATTGAAGTTAATATTTGTATTAAAAAGGTGTTTTAAATTATAACATCAAAAGCTGAGGTTTAAAGTAAAAGATATGACTAAATAGGAGTTTTGTATATCTCCAAGTCTGAAAATATCAAAAAAATTTAAAACAAATGCAAACAGGAGAACTTTTACATGTATATGATAAAAGTTAATAGCCTTAATGAATAAAAAGCTCTTACAGATCATTTAAAAGAATGTATCATGCTAAGGGAAACATGTAGAAAGCATCAAACAGTTAACAAAAGAAAAGCAATGTACAGTACTGATAAGGAAAATATATTTAAATCTAATAACCAAATTTATATTGAAGCAAAAATATACCTTGATCTTGAGTGGCTCAGTCGGTTAAGCATCCAACTCTTGATTTTGGCTCAAGTCATCATTTCAAGGTCGTGAGATGGAGCTCCACATCAGACTACCCTGCTGGAGATTCTGTTTGCCCAT